TAATTATTGGCTTCATTACTAGGTATCTGCTTTCTGCTAAGCTATAATATCAACAATGAAAATACTGTTTAGGTCCTTAATTTTAATTTAAATACATATTTTCATATTTCCGTGGCATCCTGCAAATATACACTATGCAAATCAACAAAAACCAATAATTTTAAATCCCCATCATATGACAAAGTTAACATTTGCGTACACACACATAGGTACATACGACCTATATGATTCGATCGATAAACAATAGGTAGCAGGCAACGCAAATGAAAATCCCACTTAAAGAGATAGGTATGTGAGTTGATTAGCAGCTAGTCGCCGGCAGCCCGACTCACTCTGGTCCACGAGCTCCCAGCCTATTGTCTGCCGCTCTGCCGGCGAATAACTAAACGCTGTTAGTTCATGCACGCTAGGGCTGCCACTGACTACTATTATTCACTATTTTTTTATTATAGAAGTATTGTTTAGTAAAATAGTTTTAAATATTGACAATTTCATTGTTCATAATTTGGATATTTTTAATCGTATAAGTAAGTGTATTTAGTTCCTTATCTAAAGGAGAAATGCTTACAGTTAATTCGTTGACCTTATTATTAGAATCCTTGGAGATATTTAAATTCGAAGAAGTGTTTCCCTTTCCTAAAGCTTATCGGCTAATACGAGGTGTTTTCAAAAAAGCATATATTTTGGTCCTGCATACTCAAGTGATTAAAAAGTAACTTGTGACTTGTGGGTGACTTCTTTAATATAAAAATTATTATTTTGACTTCGATTGAATAAACTTGTTTAAGTTAAATAAATATTTCACAATGCTATCCAAAATTTTATAAATTTTAACTTTTAAGTAATAATTACCTAATAAACGAGCATCCAAATATTTATAGTGACAACCCTGTAGCAAGTCTGTAACAGGGGAGGCAGTTCCCACTGGTTTGCGTCTCGCTTATAAATGCTATTTTAACGCGGAAAAAAAGATTAATTAACTAATTGAGCTGCCCGACATACCGACTAGCGGCTCACTGTAGCTTTCATTTTCCATCTACGCAAATGCTCCTTGCGATTGTGTCTGGGTTAATGACACTTGCCACTTTACTACGATTTTCACGTTGATGAGGGATTCACATTGTTAGTATTTGAATATAACAAACTAAACTATCTCTCTTGTATTTTGAAACTGGTGACATCGCAGAGCTTGATTGATGGATGGGAATTGTTTTAGTTCTAGTAGGTAATATTCATAACGCAATGATAAAGCTTTTTCCGGAGTTTATAGTCGTTAATCTGATAACATTATAATTAAGGCAGTGGTAGCTCAGTGGTAACGCGCTCGCATGGGAAACCGAGTGAAGCGAGTTCAAATCCCGGGTTTTGCACCTCTGATATTTTCATGTGCGAATCATTTCCAACATGATTATCACTTGTCTTAACGGTGAAGGAAAACATCGTGAGGAAACCTGCATGTCTGAGGGGACCTAGCAAGTTTTCAAAAGACATACTCAGTCCGCCCACACTTGGCTAGCGTGTTGGACTATGGCCTGATCCCTCTCGTACTGAAGGGAGGCCCGTGCCCAGCAGTGGACGTTAAAAAGGGCTGAAACAATCTGATAACGTCTAACAGTAACACACGTATAAAATATTTGTTTAAACATACATAGTTGGATGCTTCTAGAAAGAAATATCGTTGAATTAATATTAATTGGTTATAAAAATTAATTTATATAAAAGTCGATTAAGGTACCTACTAACGTCATATTACGATATTTAGACATTTTCTTATATCTTAGCGTTCTCGCTGCTAATTTATTGCAGTTCAATATTTAATTTTCACTAAAGCCAGTCCCCATATACAAGTTGATTTTAGAAAATATTCGGATCACACCATATAAAAATATCTCTCAAATTTTATTTCCATACATTTTTGAATGCTATTATACTCGTATATATTTTAAATAAAGAGGCAATAAATTCCAATATATAAATTAATTTTGTGTGTATGCCTATTGCGTTATATTTTCGTCAATAGAGGAATTATTTTCATGATTCTTTTTTTAATGATTAAAACACTTCTAATTACGGAATACTTACTCTTTGAAAGATTTAGATCTTTTTAGTGAAAAGTACGATTTATTAAATTGCTATTAGCATTGGAGATTGTTGAATGTTGTTTGTTCAATCCGACTGTATTTCTGTTCATCCTTTGACACTTGTTTCGATTAAAAGTAGCCTCTTCAAAAATGCTTGTTCATTCTCTGCCTACCATAATTAGCACTTAGATAATTTGCTTTACCTTAAATTTTCGATACTTAACAAAAAATCGAGCTTTAAGATTAGGGAACGATTTATCGTGGTTATAGTATCAATTATACATTTTATCAATAAGATACCAACGAGGCAAACACTTCTAATTTAGCCAATCTTTTTTAAATTTAGAATATATTGACGTGTACTCGTAATTCTTTTTCACCTAAACGGATGACATATTTAAAGTTTTTTTTTGTTTTTTGTAGATGATGCAATTATTGAGATCCAGATAAAAATAAAATTAATCTTTTTTTGCTTATAAAAAAAACATATAGTTTCAACTTTTCAATCTCCCATTTTGCTAGCGAGGTCTGTGGTAGGATGAAGTCTGCGTGCCGGGTTCGTTTTTCAGAGCCAGGTTTTACCTAAGCAATACTATTCCTGACTAGGTATCTAAGCAAAAAAAAATTTTTGCTTTAAAAAATATATATGTAAAGGCTATAAAAATTACATTATGTAAGCAGTAAGCATGTTATTTCATAGTATTTATACTTTAATAGCACCCATGCACCCCATACCAAATAGACTCAACAAGATTTCTCCGTCTGTATATAATATAGCCAACTTATTCTACATTCAGGAGTTTCATTTGCATCTAACAGTCAAATTAGTACATTTTAATTTCGTTCTTATTATTTTAATCAACGTTTAATTAAGCCGAAATTTAATCAGCGCATTATAAGGCAACGAAATCCAGCATCGTATCTGAAACAATATGGCTCGAATGTTTAATTAGCGCATTGCAGGCTGGCGGGGAGAGGGTGTGGGGAGGTGTTATTCATTAAAATGTTTGCGGAAACTCGTTTAGCGCTGCGGTGGCCGCCCCGCCCGCTCTGCAGGGCTGACTGAATTTCAGTAATTTACTACTGCCATTTGCTTTTATATAAAGACAAGATATAAATGTTACATAATAATTCAAACCATAATTTATGAAGGACCAACTCGAAGTTAGTAAATTGGATGTTTTTTATGAAATAAAATATAATTCATGTTATAATTAAATAGTCTTGTCTGCTTAATCTTATTATAATAAATGTTGAGATGTCAAGTTAGTAATTCAGTTCAGTCATAAAAGTTTTATACGCTGTTTAAATTTTTCGTTGCAGCTAATTAAAACTTTAAATACAAGATAATATTAAATTATCATATCTTACATACCAATGCGCTTCTCCTTCAAAGCTATTCGTAGATTTACATTTAGCTTTACAAGTAAACAAATTCTTAAAATAACGCTAATATTATGTACGTACAATTAATAACATTAAGTTTTCTTATATAAAGTTTAAAATTGTACAAATTTCTTTTAAACCTCTTATAAATTATTCTTTCTAATTATACCTAGTATACCTTCTTCTAATGTAATTTTGATATCAATCGCGTTATATTGATAGCATTGTCCAATATAATTAATATATGTAAGTATTACTTATGTACTGGTTTCATTTTCAACTTAATGTTATCAACAACAAGCGTTTGACAAACTGTTTTAGAGATAAGTATATAATACAGAGTATAAAATGAAAATTCAAACATCATGAATTTTTATATATTAATGAAAATAGTGTTATTTGTACATATAATTAATACAAAGTTAAAACAAAATACAAAATTTTCGTATGCTAGTCTTACATTTCCAACTGTCACCCCTGTGAGGGGGTGCGGGGTGCGAGCAGTAACATTCATTTGCTCTTCGTAATCGCAGCTTCCGTTATCTGCAACCCACTTAGCGAACTCGCTGTTTGTTTCGTTCCTTTGCCAATTATATTTTGCTGACTCTACATAATTAAGAAAATGCCCCGAAGCGGGCTGCTTTTACATCGTTGTTTACGATGCGTTAGTGAATGTATTTTATGTTTTTAGTTTCATAGTAAATATTCCGTATATATATTGTTACAGCAATTTGTCGGATACGCCTGTGTAAGTAGCGATTAGGTGTAGTACCTACTGAACCATAATAATGCTATTTACTTGTATTACTCTTTTGAGTTTAGTAGTTTCAGGAGTTGATACAATAATCTAACATAAATTAGTGACTACGAGTAGTATATTATCATAAGTATTAACAATCAATATAATATTTTAGTTGATTGGGAAAGTTGTATTATTGGTATTTTATAATTTATTCGCTTCCTTGTTAATTAATTGAACCCTATTAAAGCTTACATATCTACAGCAAGATCGATGTTTTATATTTTACTTCATAATCTTACTCCTCCGTACATAATTGACTATAAAAAATGAACTCTGAATAAATGCTAGTGCTTTCAATATCTCATTAACAGTTTCAGCGCGAAATTAACCGCATTTATACAAAATTTATATTTACAGATACGCCATAACTCAATCTACACCTATTTAAAATACAACCCTTGAGAGAGCAATTCGATTGGCTGAATTTTCCATCCCCTAGGGCATTCAGCCAATCGCATGACTCCATTATATTGCAGGGGGTGGAGCTAGGGTAGTTTATACCACAGTATTTTCGCAGATTCAAACAGTGTAGTGTTGTTCATCCCTAACGCAAGACTTTTTAATTCTGAAGTTTAGTGCTATACACGTTCGAACTTTTCTCTCTTATTATAGTGTCAATTTTATTTCAAAGGAAGCTGTTTGATAATGGAAAAAGTAAATATTGTTGATAAAAGATCACTGATTAATCATTAGGCGTATAAATTAAGGATTTTTCTGGACAAAATCACATAATGGCTGGACCGTACTTGTCTCCACTACCAGGAGATCTTCTAACTGAGTATATGTTTGGTAGGCGTCGGCAAAGACGAAACAGAACGACGTTTACGCCGCAGCAGTTAAGTGAACTAGAGTCATTGTTCCAGAAGACCCATTACCCCGACGTGTTCTTGAGAGAAGAAGTTGCGCTGAGGATTAGTTTATCGGAAGCGAGAGTACAAGTAAGCTTATAATTTTATCGATATACATATATTCAGATTAGTATATGTATATGAAAAACTTATTTTAGTTTTATTTTAATTAAGCTATAGTTCTTATAAATAAACTTTATTTAGTTTTCTTTTTTTAAATATTATTTTAATTTGTATTTATTATATGTAGAGCTTTTTATCTTTTGTGCTACATTTTATTTATATATTACTATACATATATCATTTTTCATTTAAGACTATTTCATTTTAAGCTTTAACCGCTAATTTGTTTTTGTTTGATTTCGTCTAATGACTAATCGGTCTACTCAATTAAATTATGCTATGTTTTTAATACTGATAATTATATTTATCTTTTTACCTCTACCATGCGTAGTTCTGGAGTGTAACATAATTAAACAAACAGACAGATAAAATTCATAATATTTTTATATTATAGCTTCTAATAATAATAATAAATAAATAAAGCCTTTATTGCTGTTTTCAATTGTTACAATACAATACATGGTTATTACATTTGTTACCGACGATCGGTTTTTTCCACGACAGCTTGTCGTTCTACAAAGGCCTCCTCCTTAGCTTCTAGTACGTGCTAAATATCACTTAAAAATCTATTGCTAAAAAAATCTCTAATAGAGACGATTAACATTAGGACTAGTTACGATTATATTGTATGTATAGGTTAAATCGATATTAAGAAATAATATTATAATAATATTATTAGGTGTGGTTCCAAAATCGACGTGCAAAGTGGCGAAAGCAAGCAAGACTGCAACTTCTTCAAGACGCTTGGCGGATGCGTTGCTTGGGGCTCGGCACCCCTCCACTCGGTATTCCAGGTTAGTAACTACATCAATCTATATATAATATATTTTATTTATATATTAGCGACTTATCCTCGCTTTGCTCAGATGCGTCGCTAGGTACGCGGGATTTGTTCACAATTTCATGGGTTTTAGTTTTTTTGTGTGGAACCCTAATTATATTTCTAAAATAAAAGTATATCGCATATATGTACATACCTATAGTAGCCTTTGTTACTCTTTATAATATCAGCTATCTGCCAGTGTAAGTGCCTTCAAAATCAGTCCTCTCCGCTGTTTAGGAGATTAGTCGGAACAAACAGACAGATAAACAAACATTATAAAAGTTATTTTTTTTCTTTTAAGTACCGTATATACTTTCATATGCATTTAGTAAAAAGCTGTTATTTTAACATTACAGACAGACACTTAAATTTTATTTATTTGTATAGATTTAAGTAAAAGCTATTGTCTACATGTTTAAATATTTAATATTACCCACTAGTGGCTTATCTAAGCTTCGCTCGGATTTGCCTCTAGAAAAACAAAACAAATCTATCCCTCGGGAACCGTACATTTTTCCGGGATAGGAATTATGTTCTATTTCAAACTATAATCTATCTCTGTGCCAAATTTCAGCCAGATCCGTTCAGCCGTTCTGGCGTGATTGAGTAACAAACATCCACCCAAATATCAAAACTTTAACATTTATAACATTAGTAAGGAGTAAGATGAAATTTGAGACAGTAATATTCTAGAGAACAGGTAGGCTCTCTAGGACATTATTTTTTAATCAATTTGGTTTTCATGATTCGTAAGCATACCACTTATATGTCAGAAGAGGATAAGCTTCAAAGCAAGATATTATAAAATTGCTATTTCTTATTTCATTATAAAACTATACCGTTATGTAAGAGTCACTACAGTCCAAGGTAAGACTTTTATTGTGTGTATTTTGCCCTTTCTAATGTCCCCAAGGCAGTGGTAGCCCAGTGGTAACGCGCTTGCTTGGGAAACCGAGTGAAACGGGTTCAAATCCCGGGCTCGCACCACACCTGATATTTTCATGTGCGAATCATTTCTAACATGATTACCACTTGCCTTACGGTGAAGGAAAAACATCGTGAGGAAACCTGCATGTCTGAGAGTACCTAGCAAGTTTTCGAAAGACATGTGAAGTCCGCCAACCTGCACTTGGTGGACTATGGCCTGATCCCCCTCGTATTGATGGGAGGCCCGTGCCCAGCAGTGGGACGATAAAAAGGGCTGAATACAATGTCCCACGGCTGGGCAATCTCCTTTCAATGCAAGGGGGATCAGGCGATAGTCCATAACACTAGACAAGTATGGGTTGGTGAAATTCACACGTCTTTGAGAAATAGTTAGATTCTCTCAGATGCAGGTTTCCTCACGATGTTTTCCTTCACTGTAAGGCATAATCATGTTGAAAAATTTTAAATGTCAGAGGGGCGAGACCCGGGATTTTATTCCGCTTTTCTTAGTTTTCCAAGCAAACGCGTTACTGTTAGGGCTACCAATGCCTAGAATTTCAATATAAAACTTTTAACTTTAAATTTAGGTTCTCCGGTACAACTTTTAAAGCGCTGTCGTGATCTCCTAACTCGAATAATTATATTTCAATTAGATAAAAGAAATAAATAACTATATATAATATAGGTTATTATAAATAAAATATAAGTTTATGTAAATACAAATGTACATATGTATATATTTTAAATGAATAATGCAAATAGAGTGGCATTTCCTATATTTTACCGATTATCGATTTTACAATAATATGTATTTCTTTATATAATACATATATTTTAACTAAGTATTTTTATAAGAATGAAATATTAGGTTGAAACGCTTATTAACGAATTAATCGAATATACTTTTTTACAATTTAATATAATTTTAATAAATTTATTTACCTACTTTAAATGGTCAGTTATATTGATATCATAAGTCTAAAGACATAGTATTTGTAAAACCTAAAATATCATATACCTATATAATATTATGTATGTATATTAGGATTCTATTTTTGCAATTTCTCAAAATACAACTATTCCTCGAACTAAAATAAATAGAATAATTAAAGTAAATCTTTTATATTACTCTAGCGAGTCACCTTCGCTTCGCTCGGGTTCGTCCCTAGGTACATTTTCAATTTTTTGAGCGGAACCCTAATTCTTTTACTGAAATAAAAGTAGCCTAAGTTACTTCTTATAACATCAACTACCTGCCAGTGAAAGAGCCGTCAAAATCAGCTCAGCCGTTTCGGAGATTAGCCGGAACAGACAGACAAATAAATAGACAGACATACAATTTAAAAAAAAATGTGTATTTCTTATAAATATACCGTATATAATTCCATATGCATTTAGTAAAAAGCTGTTATTTTGACATAACAAGCAGACACTTCAATTTTATTTATCTGTATATACTTGATAAATTAATTATAAACGATCCTTTGATTTGAATAAGAATCATAAAGATGTAGTTAGGAATTTGATTAGGGTGGAGAGTCAGATGCGATTGCTTTGTACAACCGATATACGTGTGATTAAAGTGGGGGATGCGGTACAAATTACACTCCTTTGTGATGTTCCTTATTACTTATATATTTTCAGCTGTTATGTCTGTTTTGTTATTGCAAAAAGCTTTTATACTACAAAATATGTCGATTAAAAATATAGAAAAGTAACATGATATAATTATTATTTCCAGCTCTAGTTTTAATAGCTTAGTAGGTTTTTTTCATGGCTCCGCTTACATGGCTGGCCAGGCGGGAATAAAAGGAAACCTATGGTGCAATCCTTAACAAACTTCATTGGAATCTGTTAAGCGCCTTAAGCGTGAAGAAGTAACAAACAGACATACAGACTTACTTTCATGTTTATAATATTAGTATAGATTTTATAATATAAATTTCCCTAATTAGATAATTAAATTGACTAAAAAGAGTAAGGATGTGGAATAATCGTAATTGATATTTTTTTTTAAATGATAACATCAATATGAAAATCTTCATCTTTACTAGATATGTTGAAGTGAAAGTACAATATCTCACCTCACTCAAATTGTTTTGTCAACATTTCGGACTTAATTTGATATAATATAAAAGTTTTTATACTTTTATGTACAGATAAAAGTATAGATGTATTTATAGGTACTATATATAGGTACCTTCGGCACTACTTAAGATGTTCTAAAATATACAAAATTTTATCATTGTGCCTCTTGTTCCTTTTATTGTTCCGTATCAAACGTCTAAAACGGAACCTATTACGTAATATAGTTTTAGATTTTTTTTTCAATTTACTTGACATTTACTTTTAGTTAATAAAATATACTTCTGTCTATCTATTGCGTAAAAAAAATCGGCTGAATGCGAGTCTGACTCGTACACCAAGCTTTCCATATCATCTTAGACCTTATACATTATTGAAAAGACGATTGTTTATGACTTTAGAAAACGCATATTTCAGCGAGTGTGACTTAATTAAAAAGTTATTGAGAAACTATTAACTTATACTTTGTAATTTCTAAGATTTATCTAAAAATACATACATATGCGGGGTTATTTTATTTCCACTCATCAGTTAACGTGTATTGTGTCCATAAATTCAAATAAATTGAAAAAGGAAAGTAATACATAGCCAGTCCTATTTTGTCAGCTATCCGTAATTGGACTATAAAGTGTAGGCATTCTCAGAAGACACCTTACGAGTTTCACTTATCTCGGGTAGGCGTAAATAATTAATTTTCCCAATGCATATTATAGGAAATTATAAAAAAAATTTAAAAGTGTAACTTGGCGTTTTTAAATAAAAATTAATGCTATAATAATATAAGATTTTTGAATTTGCGTTCACTTTTGATCGTTAAAAACACTATATCGTAGGTATATGATCACTATTGGCAAATGTAGAAAGTGTGAACTTGCTGGTTTCAGCAATAAAATTTTCAAATAAATAAATTGGACAACTTTTTTTATAATTCAATAACTTTTTAATTTTTTTTTTAAACATTTTATATATTTTTCGTTTTTCCTTGTAACTTCGCCATATACAATAATTAAAAAAAATACTTGTGTCAATTGTCTTTTAGTATAATCGCTGACATACTTACCTACAGGACAGACATTATGAAATTACAAAGTATAGTTTTTTGTGCTATTTGACTACCGGACTGTAAAGGACTATAAAATTGATATTAATATTATATATAAAGAAATCCAAAAATAATATCGCATCGTTATTTTTTAATATAACGTCATTAATAATTTAATTTGAGGCCAATATTGAAATCCATACATGTGCTTTGACACGTCTAAATATAGTGGAGTATTCATGATTCGGTTATTTATACGTTCCACTATGGTAGCACATTCCATTTGAGTACCGAATATATGTATGTACGTACGTCTCGTTCATTAATAATAAAAATTATTCACTACCTATTTCTGTCATGAAAAAGTTTTCTATTTGCGGCAAAAATATGGAAATATTGAATAAATTTTAATATTTTTTTAAAAGAATAAAATATATATTAAATATTTATATGTTTTCTACATGACATTTAAAGTATTTAAAAAACATTGTTACAGGTCACACCAAGCCACCAGAATCTTCGCCTGAAGGAGGCGATTCACCCACGCCCAAAGCGTCTCCAGAGCCACCGGTATTAGAGAGCAATAGCGAACTGAAAACTCAACGTCCAGAAACTTACCATCACAACGGCAACATGCAAGAAAATGTACCGTCAATGCCACACGAAATGCCCCCTATGCAGTATAGTGGTGAAGACAACAGAATGATGCAACAAGCTTTCCCCTTCCCACCCTTATTGATGACACACGAATCAGAATTAGCACCAACAGATTTACGAGTCATGACAAAGAATAACTGTCATTGCACAGAAGATATAGATGAGCCACAGAATTTGGCGTATCGCAGACGGACTCAGACCAGCGATAGTGAGAGTGACACCGAAATAGATCTAACTTCCCATTCAAAAGATGATGATATACGTGAATCAGAGAGACTCGCCAAGAGAATAGCAACTAACATCTTCAGAAGTGACACGGTTTTGCATGATTTGTTACCGAATGATCTCAGTATGGGTGTGAAAGGCATGGACAGGAATATGGGTAGAAATAACGTTTCCATGTAATTTAGCTATAGATTATTCTGATGTGATGAATGTAGTAATTATTATAACTTTAAATGTCTAATCTGTTTGTTAATTTTGCTTTATAAAATGTTATAGGTGGTACGATTCGAAGTGTTTTAATAGGTTAAAAATCATTTATTCGGTTCCTATATATTTGGTTTTATTCTCATAGAAAAGGAATATTTGTATCACACGTTTTTTTTTAATTTAGATCTAGAAACAATAAAAGGGACGGTAAAGAAAATTTGATTTTCTATGTAATTTTAACTAAATTTGTATTAGGTTACTATTTTTGAGGAAATTGTAAGGGGTCGGTTATTATATTTATCATTCCGACGACCGTCTAGTCAATATTGTACGCTATTTTATAGATTTGTAGATACTGTTCTATTTGTTTACCTCAGACTAAGGAATAATATAGAGTGTCACAGAACTAAACATGAAGCCCAAACAATAATGTTTTAAATAGTATACAAATGACGATTTCTATACTGAGTGATAAATAAATAAATGTTAATAAATAAAATTAGCTAACTCATTTTATTATAATAAAAAGAAAAAAAAGGTAATATTATCTCTATATATCTATCTCTTTTTCAAGTGAAAGCGAACTAATGCTTATTTTTAAAAGAATAATGTTATTTTTATAATTCATATTTTTTTTCCAAAATACATAAATTAACTTAACTAATACATATATAAAATTTCTTCTATTATTCTTTAAAAAAAAGTAAACGATCGATAATAGTAAATAGCGAAAAACGGTACTATTTTTGACATTGACATTTATTTTGGCGGGCGCCATCTGTATGATTCTTTAGTGTGAGTTTACACCTAGTATGCTATTGTAGATAGCGCAATGTAAGCCAAAATGTATTTAGACCGTATTTATTGATATTTATTTAATTAGTTGTATGTAGTTGTGTAAAGTAATCATTTGGAAATGATAGACCAAAATTTGAAAAATAATTTTATTTCAGTACGCAATTGACTTAGCTTAACTTAGGCGATGTTCATACTACATTTTATATTTTATAAATCAATATAAAAATGTACTTTATTTATACAGAAGATAATTAAAATATGTAAAGCAGTATGAACTACGCCTTATTGCAATTATCACAATAATAAATAACTTAAAACAGTTCGTGTACTTTTATATTATTAAGTAACAAATAATTGAACCCTAACATATTATGATATGAATATAGTACTTAATTCTAAACAAATTTATATAAATATTCATCTTAAAATATGAGATCTCTCACGATCTTAGGTAAATAAACGTCTTTTAAATAAATAAATAATAAATAAATATATTGGGACATCAACACACAACATCATCTAGTTCCATGGTAAGCTACGAGGCTTGTGTTATGGATACCAAATAGTTGATACACTACACATATATAACTTTAAATATATACATATTATAAATAAATATATTAACTTTATATAAGAGAAAAGTTTGTCATGATAATTTCGAATGAACAGACAAAACTAGATAAAAATTCGTTTTCATTTTATGGTCACAAGAGAGCATTGTTTTTTTTAATAATTAAGTAGGTATAAAACAATCAATAGATATATTTAATATGGACGCAAATATATAGATCGTGTTAATGAAATATTGCAATAATGATCAAGTGCATATTGTTACACAAACAATAATATAATATCGAAATTCATATTACACATATAAATAAAATAAATAGTTGTCAATTTCTTACTTTTAAAATATAAAAAAAAAATTTTAAGATAAGACAATTTGTAAATTTTTAACAAAATTTTAATGCATTGGGAAATTAATCTATTAGGCACTTAGAAAAAAATATTGAGCCTTTAAAATGACGTCTTTGGTACGGTTGTTGTTGCCGTGTAAAAACTGGCAGGCGCTGTAAGTAAAATAATTGTTAATAATAATTAATTATTTTTAAATTTACTTACAATATTTTTAAATATTGTAAGAAGTGTATGTGTGTACATTAATGTACATTAATTTACATTAATATTTAAAAATTAAATGTGAAAGTGAGTGAATGTTTCAGTGAGTGAGTGAATGAGTGAATAAGTGGATAAGTGGATAAGATTAGTGTTCTATATGAAAAAGCTAAAAAAATATAGTCTCGATATGTTTTATACAACAGTGCTCAGGACTGAGACATTTTTTCGATTTTTATCAAACAATTGAAGTTAAAAGACAGATTCACAAAGTGTATTTCAGATACAATATTGAATAATGAAGTTTGAATTTGAAATCGACTCTTTGGAGCAGAGCTGTATGTGAATCAGAGGACTATTATAAAAGCGAAAGTTTGTATGTGTGCGTGTGTGTTTGTTACATATTGACACCGAAACAGCTAGACTGATTTAGATGAAATACACAAATAGATGAACCGGAGTTTATAGCGAACTCATAGGATTCTTAGAAACTACTTTAGCGAAGCGACAGTTGGTCGCAGCGCACAGATGTAAATGCAGTATTCCATATTATTCTAAGTATCTGAGCCATCGAGCTTCACTCGGTGTTTTTGTCGGAAATAATATAAACACTGCGTTTTTTTCAAGGAATACACCTACATAGCTAAAATTAAAAGCAAAACCTTATCCAAATATAAAATTTGATTTAAATCATAAGGAGTAGTAGAGGTGCACGAAATTAATTTATATAGAATAATAAAAAATAAAAATATTATACAAGAATTGCTCTTTTAATATTATGTTATTATTTAAAACGTTGACCGTGGGTATAAGGTACAACCAAGCAAAATTTCATTTAAATCGGTCCAATAGTTTTGGAGATTAACCCGTACAAACAGACAGAGAATCAAAAAAAAATTGAAAAAATCTGGATTTGTTAAATTTCTCTTCTCACATTCCTCCGACTCGGTTTTTAGCATTTTTTTCTATGTACAGACATTCGACCTCTACAGTTTTACTATATGCATAGATAGATAACCTAAGTACTGACCGTGGCGACACAGAGGCGCCGGCACTAAACGCAGCGGGCGTCGTGCTGCGCGCACCAGGCGGGCGCCAGCACGTCGGCGCGCACGCCGCGCGCCGCCAGCCGCGCGCGCAGGCGCTGCAGCCGCGCCTCCGCCGCGCCCGCGCCCGCGCCCGGGTCCGCCCACAGCCGCTCCGCCACCGCCGCCGCGCGCGGCCACACGCGCGTCTCTGTTGGATAATATATTGGACATTAACACACATCACCATCTAGTTCCATGGTAAGCTACGAGGCCTGTGTTATGGATACCAGATGGTTGATACGCTACACACACATGACTATAACTACATACATATTATAAATATATACACCCATGACTGGTGTGCAAGTATTCGCACTCATTCCACAAATGAATGCCCCCAGCGGGACTCGAACCCGCGACCGCTGGCACAGCAAGTAGGGTCACTAGTCACTACAGACTGGACCGAACGTGTCGCCACACTGTGCACACAGTATTACATACATACATACTTTATTGAAACGAAGTTCCTTATCAGAATTCGTTGGCTTACTATTACAAGGTTTTATGTTAATTTTAATGAAGTTTAGTAATTTTTACATAGAACTTCGTTATTTTGTTATCGTAAAAAAAAACATAGAACTATGTAAAATTGAATATTTTGTAGTTATAGTACCACTAGATGGTTTGTTTTTGCAAAACTGTAGCTAATGACACATAGAACCTTGTAGCATTAATAACTAAATAAATACTAAAATTGTAACATAGAACCTTGTAATAGTGAACCAACGATATGTTACACTCGACACACTTGGCGAATGAACTAGACGGTAACAAGTGGATAATTCCGACCGTCACGACAGTTTTTATTATTTCCTAAGGATACCCCATGTGACGTCATCATTTGTACCAGGCGAGCATAAGTATTAAGGAGTTCTTATGCACTCTTATGATGGAGCCCTACTATATAATAATAGACATTCCTTGATATCTACGGCGTCCTTATTGTATTCAGCCCTTTTTTTAACGTCCCACTGCTGGGCATAGGCCTCCCTTCAATACGAGGAGGATCAGGCCATAGTCCACCACGCTGGCCAAGTGCGGGTTGGCGGACTTCACATGTCTTTCGAAAACTTGCTAGGTTCTCTCAGACATGCAGGTTTTCTCGCGATGTTTTCCTTCACCGTAAGGCAAGTGGTAATCATGTTAGAAGTGATTCGCACATGAAAAAATCAGAGGTGCGAGACCCGGGATTTGAACCCGCTTAACTCGGTTTCTCAAGCGATCGCGTTACCACTGGGCTACCACTGCCCTAATACGTATGACCATTATCGTCACCATATATTATAAGCTGAGAGTACTGAGTAGCCTATAATGTGACCTTTTCATAAACACCAGGCGATTATAAGTGTTAAGGAGCGTATCTTATAAGAAAGAAAATGACTTAAAAAATAAATTTAAACACCGAAACCCATCCATTTAGTGACTAACTTAACAACACTTAACCATAAGTCAATAATCTTACCTAAAGCTTGCGAATCAACGTATTCACTCCACATGGCAACTTCGCCACCTAACATGTTTGGGTCTCGTGGTAAAGTATGGGCATACATTTTCCTCCAGTTAGAATACTTGGTTTGTCCCCAAAAACCATGGTCTAAGTACCATATGTCCTTCGGCACAGACACCGTGTTGTATCCGAGACGTATGAGTTGAGTTAAAAGAGAACTGCTTACTGGTTCCCAAACTTCTATTACATATCTGAAATAAGAATTACATATATCAACTATAATAATATATAAAGCTGAAGAGTTTGTTTGTTTGTATTCGCTAATGTAGAATCTACTTGTCCAATTTGCAAATTCTATTAGAGAACAGTATAAGCAAATCTGCGACGCGGGCGAAGCCGCAAGAAAATGCTAGTATAATTATATGTATTATGTAGGTAGTACAAATATTTTTTTTCATCAAAATTGTAAAGCAAAATACTTGTTCGTTTTTATAATGCCATAATTTTCATTTGGCGCAAAGGCAAAAGATAAATTGTGGTCTTACATGACCAGAAAAAGTAACTTTACTCCTCTCACAATAATTTCTTAAAATATTGAATAAATCGCCAATTCTATTTTTGATTAGGACATTTTTTGACCAGTTTAATTATAAACTAACATTTTAATACTTATGAAGTGTTTATAAGTATGGAATAAATATTACCATGATATATTACTATCTCTTTCTCTTGCTATCTCCCTCTCTCTCACACACACACACGATCTCTACTTCTTTCTCTCTTCGTGATTCGAGTACAACCTGCAGTTATTAATAATTATCCTCACCTATTCTTATCCAAATATTTTTGTATCCTTTGCGTTTGGGTTAGTTCGGAAGACCACAACATTACGGGTAATTTATCCGTTTGTCCCGTAGCCGCTAATACTTCATCCCATATTTTAAGAGCCTTTTCATGGAATTCCGCCCAAAGTTTGATAAAACCTTCGACATTGGTGTCGTAGCCTTGACTTTGCATGTACGTTGTTATTTGCTCTGAGGAGTTCCAACAGTTGAAGAAAACCTATAATTTACATAATTATCATGACTATTAAAATTCTTGTATATTTTAATATTCTTTTGTAGTATAGTAAATATAATTATTATCAGTCTAAGTTATTTCCTATCATATTTTGATTTATAAGAAACAATAAAAATAGTAAATTAAATTAGCATTTTTTTTAAGAATGTCCATATAATTTTACGCAAGTCATAAAAAAACATTTCTATGATAATATAATATTTAAAACATCTATTATAAGAATACCGAGTACTTAAGCACCTATAAAATTAATCTTTACAATTATGTCATAAGTAATACGAGTAAAATTATTGTTCAACTACTGTACTATGGCAACGTCTTTTACTTGATAGTTATTATTTGTTTACAGTGTCAGTTTCGACCTAGGCGCCGCCCTTGGGCACTGTAAGAAATGCCGCCCCATCATCGAAATTTTGCATAAAATGGATAAAATTTCGGTAAAGTTACATTTTTTAATTGTATTTTTTTTAATAATTTAAATTTTTCGATTTTTTTTGAAAAAAAAATTATTTTCGAAAACGCGAAGGGATTTTAATTTATCCTTTGAATTTGCCGCCCCTGAAAATTTGCCGCCCTGGACACTAGCGCCGAGTGCCCCTGATGTAAAGCCAGCGCTGTATGTTTAATATAACTATTTTTTTATTATAAATATAAGGGAAAATTATAACCCAGTTTTGATTCTATTCTTTTACATTTACAAATGGTGGAAAAGATGGAAAGAATTTTATTCTGTAGAGTACTTTAAAGGTTAATATAACTTATTTAATTTCACCAGTAACAAGTTGTTAGCTTTGAGCTATGAGCTTGTTTTTTGGGTTAATTTAATTGTCTATCTGTTTTTATGGTACCTATGTTGAATTATATTTCCTTTTTCTTTGTTAATGTTAGTGATTATGTAGTTATTATCTATGGAAACTTAGCTGATGCGTGTATTTTTGTCATGAACGAATTCGTTCATGATTTTTGTATATTAGAATCCTATAAGTAACATAATAATATCCCTAATAAATTAAATAAATAAATGAATAAACAACAGACAAAATACTTAACTTCTCCATACACTATTACGTCAACGGCGGCTAATCTCACTGAGATTAGCCAACTGCGCAGGAGATATTATCGTGAGATCGTTTGAGACTCGGGAGGAACATAGATAGTTTTTATGCCGAAAATCATTCTTTAAGGGAGTGAAAAGATGAATGGAAGTTTGAATGGCGAATCAATTATTTCTCAAGTAAGGCTTATGAAAATCTTCTAACCTACATGTGTATATATATATAGTCTATAGTATACTTCATACTAAGTGTCAAAACGTACGTAGGGACGAAATGACTCTAGCTAGTCTATAATAATATTAGTGTGATTAATGTGATTTACCTCATCACCTCCAATATGAAACAGAGTAGGCCTAGGTAAAACCTCTGCCAGGTCAGTATACAAGTCACGCAGTACTTGGTACATGGCGGGGTTGGCGGGGTTGAGCTGCCCGCACGGCGGCTGTATGCACAGGTTGCGCCACGCCTTCGCGTTCACACACACTGCTAGATCTCCATAGCCGTATTCCTAATATGAAAGTTGTTATTATTAATTACTTTTGATCTATGCATATGAGTAAGTATCTCTACAGATACAAAGTTACATACAACCATGGGCGCCGGGAAAATATATAGAAAAAGTTAAAGGAATAAAATTATATGAGTAAAATCTCTGTTTAAATTTATGTTAACTAAAAACTGCGAAAACTAGGTGAAAAATATTTGTCACAAATATTTTAAAAAAAGTACATTTAAAAAAATATAAACGCATACGTCAAATCTTTGGCTCCGTACAGAGATTTACTCATGTGCTGGTCCTCAATACGAGTGCGCTATTTTCACCAATAGGGAATATGCGTAATTTTTTTTATACAATAGCTAATAAATAATAAAATAATTGTAAAAAGAATATCCAGCTCCAAAAAAACTAAAATTTTGTATAATTTTTTTTAGGAATAAGGATCACAAAAAAATTATCACCTTTATTTAAATCACACGCATATTCCCTATTGTAAACCAACTTTTTTATATGTCATTTTGAAGTCATAAAATTTTTGTAAATTTTATTTAATTATCTTTGTAATAACTTATTATAATATAACCACTGTGTATAGGTACAGTGAGACATAATAAAACTTGAGAAAATAAGTTTAATAACAAACAATAACAATAACTAGCCGTTAATTACGTAATAACAAACATCAATGAAAAACTGACAATGAATAAACGGACAAAAAAATTAAAAACATTTTTCTTAAATTTTAATATAACAAAAGTTTTATGTTTTTTTTTATATTTTTCTTCTCCTATTATTCTTAAGTTTAACAGAAAAATCATTGTGTTATTGATGTTATGCAAGTGATAAACAAAATAATTATTAAATAAATATTTTTTCGAATTTAGTATTTCCGAATCTATTTTAGAATATCATTAGAGCTATCATACCTCAAACTAAAGAATTACATGGACGGGTCCTCCAAAATATATGTCAAAGTCAAAAATAATATATAAATGCTAAACAGCATTTATATATACATGCCTACGAATAAATAGTTATTATTTATTCGTAGGTTTATGCTACTATATTTTACATTTTACCATACAGATCGTTTACTTACTTTAATGAATACGGGAAATTTTCTGTATATAATAGTTTAATTACCTAATATACAATGATTGAAAATAAATTATGAATAATACAAAATATACTATGTTCTTTTGGATTTTTAAGCATTAGGTCTCTTCTCTTTGAAAGGGAGATAGTATAATATCAGTTTATTATTTTTTCTTTATTATAAAAAAAATCTGTTAATTATTTTTATATGTTAACAATTATTTACTTATCATTTAGCATGCAAATTGTCATTTGTATACTATTTTAAAACATTATTGGTTAGCATCATGATTAGTTTAACGACACTATCTATATTATTTCTTAGTCTGAGAGCTAAATATATGTAAAGCATGTAAGATACATTACATTTCCCCATTGCCATCCATTGCCAGCATGAGCCGGAGAGTCAATTTCTATAACCACCCTTACTCCACGGACTTTCGCATAGTGAATCAGTTCACGGACTTCATCTGTTGTATAAATCTCATATGCTGAATATGCCCCATATCTGGAAACACATATTGTACAATCAAAGAAAACCCCCTCGATGTACTTAGATAAAAAGGAGGGTATGTTTGTACGTTTATAAAACCCATAAACAGATAGCTTTGCAAATTGTGCTGATCCGTTGCTCCCTTGCTTTGTTACTGCATTAAAGAAAAAGAAACATTTTTGTATATGATAATTTTACTAGTTATTAGTAAAGGTTTAATGATATTTTAGTCTGAGTTTGATTTAGACCATAAATTAAAAAACTGAGATATTTTCCTTAACGTAAACATAATTATCTTTTCTCTATAGTCTTATTATATTCATGAAGCAGCCTCGTCCGATATTACTTATATGCAATAATTGAATATAATCATTCAGCATGAAGCCATTAATTATCAACGTTACCTTGTAAACTGAGGTACACGAGTGGATTCCAAAGGAAAGCTATGAGAATCAGTAGCATGCCAATGGAAAACGTTCATCTTAACAGTTCCCATAGCATCAATCATCCTCTTTATATCATCCATTGGTATGAAATTTCTAGATGTATCCAGAAGAAACCCTCTATGCTTATAAACAGGTCGGTCCCATATCTTTGCCCCCGAGATTAGACGAAGAGTACATTTATATTGATCAATAAAATCTGGTTTATCTGCTGAGATCAATTGAGTGAATGTTTCGAGACCATGACGCGCCCCGAATACAGTTTCCGCTACAATGTGAATTACGGAACTTTTCTCTGAAATATACCAGAATGGATGTGAAATATATTTAAAGATAAATTCTGTTTAAAGCATATTTCTAAGAAAGCTTCTAAGGAAGAGTAAAACTAACATCAGTTATAAAAATGCTAATATGAAAAATTTTTACATATAAGAGTATATTAACTCTTTCGGTTAACCTAGTGTATAATTTTTAATATTAAATGTGAGTATTACTATAGTAATTTTAATAATAATTGTTATAATTGTGTTTGTTTTAAAAAAAAGAATATCTAGATACCTTAGGAAATGTAATCTATACATATAATGAAATTGTAACTAAACCGAATCTGTACATTAAGATTATTTTTTGGAAAATCTTATTGAAATAAACATTATTATCGATACAGAGGCCAAATCTATAGTTTTTTGAATTTTTGTCTGTCTGTCTGTATGTCTGTCTGTTACCCCATCACAGAAAAACCACGGAAGGGATTTTGATGAAATTTGGTATGGTGATAGCTGGTTATCCGGGTCAACATATAGGATACTTTTTACCGCGGGAAAATATTTCATTTCTGAGAAAAAATACAAAAACTGCAATGTAAGAGTAATTTGGTTTTTGGTTATCTGAACTTGGGTGGAGCCGCGGGCAATGCTAGTGAGTAATAAATGACCAAATATTTTACCTTTACTTTGAACATCCAATCGGTACTGTTCATCTGTTTCCCAAGTGAGATCCAGGTTGTTTGTCTTCACCGTAATATAAACCACGACGGGTGTGTTCACAACATCGGTCACATTACCATCACATTCATCTAAGATATATTGCGTAGCCACTTGCGTCATTTCAACTAGGATTTCACGCGTTTCCACTGGTGCATTGCTGAGATCAAATCTGTAATAAAGATCATACAACCTATAATATTCATTTTATATTATAATACCGGATAGACTTTGTTCTGTCGAAATATTAATAATTTTACTTGTGATTTTTGACTTCATACAAAAATTCTATTGAAAAAGCACCTCTAGATCTTCCCTAACTTCTCAATTATCTAGGCAAGTTTTATATTTTTTTTTGTAATTGCTCGGCAGGACTATTGAGATTGAAAAGGACAAAATTCATTGAGATTAAAAAGGAGATAAAAAGTAAAAAATAACTGATTGGTAGTTTTAATTTACTATACATACCTAATCAAATATTTTCGAAGTCGGTGTGCTTTGCTTTGTATGGGCTGGCACCGATTTCGAAAATATTTGATTAGGTATGAATTTAATAGGTAGGCTTTAATTACTTAGCCAAAGCACACTGACTTCGAAAATATTTGATTAGGTATGTATAGTAAATGAAAACTACCAATCAGTTATTTTTTACTTTTTAGTGCTTTTGTTTGAAGTCGGTTTTTATTTTTTTGTGAAAAAGTTTTTATTTTCCGTTTTTAGTGTAGACAGTAGTAGCAAAGTAAGAATTCTAACGTGTTAGGCTTGTCGAATCAAACAAAATAAGCCCAAACTCAAAGTATCTACTATTAGCCGTTGAAGAGTTCCACCTATCCACCTTCTGGCTTTACCATCAGATCAGGTCAACAATACCGAACCACTGTACTATCAACGGAAATAGAAACACTTGCAAAGTTTCAAGTCAATATGACAATTAGAAGTAGGTTAAATCCATCATTAGCTATTTTTCTACCCTTAGGGGTGGTATTTTTTTTTTGAAATTTAAATGGGACCAATCTGGAAGTATACACTTTCAAACAAAACGAAGATTGTCCAAATCGGTTAATAAATGACGAAGTTTTGAGGTAACAAACATAAAAAAAAATAAAAAAATACAGTCGAATTGAGAACTTCCTCCTTTTTGAAGTCGGTTGAAAATAGTGGAAATTTTAAAAAGAAAATCGATTCTAGCAGTTCTCATATGATGTAAACAAATAGTATTAAGTATTTATTTATATAGTTTATATTGTTTTTTGACCTATTGTCAAAAACAATTTAATATAATAAAAAGAAATCAAACTTGTGAAATAAATATGCGACTCCTGACATAGATCTTATTGAATAGACTTGATATTTTTGTAATATAGGTTATTTACACCTATTTTAGAGCAATTAATAATTCTAAATTCACCATGTTTAATATACTATTGTTAGTTATTGCTGTCGTCATTATTATAAAAGGGAAACTGCAGTAGATAACGGATTCAGAGTTATAAAACTATTATAAAAAAATATTATAGTCTATGAATGTTGCAAAAGCTTTTGTTTATTTGTTGGGAATTATATTACGTACTTAGCTTGCGTGGGCCTCATTTACTTAGATAATAAAAAGTATTGTATAAACAAAAGGCAATAAAATTATTATTAGTTATATTGTGTTTATGTATGATTTATATTTATATAACTAGAGACTCACCCTCGCTTCGCTCGGGTTCGTCCCTAGCTTGCTTTCCCATACAAAATTTTATTCCCATTTTCACCCCCTTAAGGGACGATTTCCGGGATAAAAAGTATCCTATGTCCGTCTCTGGGTTCTAAGCTACCTCCCCGCCAATTTTCAGCCAAATCGGTTTAGCCGTTCTGGAGTTATAAATAGTGTAACTAACGCGACTTTCTTTTATATATATAGATAAAATGGAAGATCCGAGTCATAGATCGAATATATTATAATTTATTATTATGAAAATTGGCAAAATGAAAATCTGACATTGTATTACAAGTTCAAAGAGACACAAGAATGTGTTTATAAAGGAATATTTGAAGTTTTACTTCTTAGAAGCCAGTGCAAGCTGTGAATAAGTGGCACTGACCAAGTATGGAATATACGATTATTTCTGCAGACAGTGGGCGGCAACAGTCCCGACTTGGCTCGCACGATTTACCTGTCAAATAAATGATCAAAGATCGTAGGTCGAATAACGTTATTGCCTATAAATCGGTCGTTCACCCCTTTACTATAACAATTTACAAGAATGCTAAATAAATATTGTTACATTTAAATATGTCCGTTGATGATCTCATCTTGTTAGATCTTATTTGCACTTAGTTTCTTTTATTCAATAATATAAAGCTTAATATTTTTGACGACACATTTGGCTCAGTTTGTAGTGATCCTACTTGCTGTGCCAGCAGTCGCAGGTTCGATTCTCGTAAAAGTTTATACTCCAGTCATGGGTGTTAATATTTTTATTATGTATATTAATTATAAAGTTATATACCTACTATCTGGTATCCATAACACAAGCCTCGTAGCTTACCATGGAACTAGATGATGCTGTGTGTTAAGTCCCAAGATATCATACTAATATTATAAAAAGTTTCATATATAATAGTTTGTAGGAAGTAATATCTGGAACTACTGAGCCGATTTAGATGAAATTCGGTAAGAAGATAGTTTGAGACTCTGGAAAGGACATAGGATAGTCTTTATATCGAAAATCAGCCCTTAAAGAGTGAAAATAGGGATATATAAAGCTAATATAGGGAAATATAAAGCTTAATATGAAATGCATATCACTACATAGTATAAAACAAAGTTGCTTTCTCTGTCCCTATATCCCTATGTATTCTTAAATCTTCAAAACTACGCAACGGATTTTGATGCGGTTTTTTAATAGATAGAGTGATTCAAGAGGAAGGTTTTAGTATATAATTTGTTAAGTTTTTGTATACATTGGCTAAAATATAACGATATTTGTTGGAGGTGTCAGAAAAAATAAAACGTCTGGGAGCTTTCAACGAAAACGCTGCCTAAACCCTTTGAGATATAAAAAAATAATATATAGTGGAATTGTGTATCTTACATAGGTCTACAGAAAAGTCCGCGATGGCATATGTCTATCTCTTAAGGATAACATACTATATCCATTTTAATTTAAAACGTACCGCTAGCTACGAGTCGCAAGATTTTTATATTCTTATAACTTAGATATATTTCAAAATTGCTGTATCTGCGACTTCTTATCTTATTACTAAATTTCATGACCGTAGCAGGTTTTGAGTTTTCTTTATTAATCCATTCAGTCAACAAGTGTGTGGTATTTTTTTATATAGATTACAAAAATGACATTCTCAAAAAAAAATCAAAGTAGTTGTTATGAAATGTAGAGAGAGTAGAGAGATGAAATGATTTTAAAACTGGATAAATTGCAAAAACACACATTTTAAGAATCCGTATTCCTTCCGACCATTGTGTTCTCGCTCAAACGATTTCAATGAATAACTTGCAATTAGTCTCGTATCATAGTTAATTCGACTATGTTTTATGATGGCTTCTTTATATGTAGACTAGCGCCTCACTCTCTCTTCGCTTCGGATTCGTCCCTAGATCAAAACAAATCTATCCCACGGGAACCGTACATTTTTCCGGGACGATATATAGCCTATAGCCTTCCTCAATAAACGGGCTATCTAATGCACAAATATTTTTCAAATCGGATTAGTAGTTCCTGAGATTAGCGCGTCCAAACAAACAAACAAACAAACAAACAAACAAACAAACAAACAAACAAACAAACAAACAAACAAACAAACAAACAAACAAATTGCCTCTTAATAATATTAGTATAGATAAATAGATAATAAATTGGTATCTCATAACTTAAAATAAGAAATAATAAAGTATAAATTACACACATTCACAGCTATGTATTGTACTTATTTATGCTACTTTCTGAAATTATTAAAACATTAAATTTGGTATTATATAAAAACTTACACATCTTTGTAGTATTTGTTTTTTTAAGTAATTTTAGTAGTTTAGTAAAGAAAAAAATTGTAATGATATTTTAGATAAGTAGGCAGTGGTAGCCCAGTGGTAACGCGCTCGCTTGGGAATCCGAGTGATGCGGGTTCAAATCCCGGGTCTTGCACCTCTGATATTTTCATGTGCGAATCATTTCTAGCATGATTACCACTTGCCTTACGGTGAAGGGAAACATCGTGAGGAAACCTGCATGTCTGAAAAAACTTAGCAAGTTTTCAAAAGACATGTGAAGTCCGCCAACCCGGACTTGGCCAACGTGGTGGACTATGGTCTGCTGCCTCTCGTATTGAAGGGAGGACAGTGGGACGTTAAAAAGGGCTGAATACAAGTAAAGAAGACGTATTTACCTGAGACAAGCATCCGCGATCATATTGTACATATTATATATAGAAAATATTTATCTGCATATTATCTCATGTACTTAGCTAATACTTAGATAAACATTAAAGAATAATATCATCTGTTCATACGAATGTATGTATTCAATGCACACTCATACAATTCAATTAAATGATGAAGTCATTTAAGGTCGTTAGTCGTTATATAAGGTCGATATACTAACGATATAAGTAAATTTAAATTGTTTAAGTGCACTTATAATATCATTATTGTAAGTACTAAATTTCATTGGGTAAAATGTAATTTTGTTTAGTCAATATGTACATATATCTTGAAACTCTATGATATTTAAATATAAATAAATAAATATGTTGGGACATTAACACACAGCACCATCTAGTTCCAGGTAAGGTACGAGGCCTGTGTTATGGATACCAGATGGTTGATACACTACATATATATAACTTTAAATAAATACACATTATAAATATAAACACCCATGACTGGAGTACAAACATTCGTGCTTATCACACTAATGAATGCCCCCAGCGGAACCCGCGACCGCTGGCACAGCCAGTAGGGTCACTACAAACTGAGCCAAACGTGTCGTCAAAAAAAATATTTAAATATCTTATTATACTTTGTATTATATCAAACAAGTTTTATTAAAATAATAATTTTCTCTTACATTGTTGTTTACAAAGACAGCTATTCTATTATAGAACGTATACTACAAGCTAAATTTAGCTTCAGTCTGCGAAGTGGTTGGATGACTCCCAGAAATAAAATAA